GAATGAGACAATCAAGTGAAAAGAAAAAAAGAACATTAGAAGAGTATTGCTATGGTCTGAATGTGTCACTACAAAATTTAAGTTGAAACCTACTCTTCACTGTGGTGAAGTTAAGAGGCTGGGCCTTTTGGGAAGTGATTAAGTCATGAGGGTTCTGCCCTCATGAATGAAATTAGTGCCCTTATAAAGGGTTGAAGAGAGCTGTCTTGCTTCCTCTTTAATCATATGAGGCACCATCTATGAAGCTGAGAGTGAGCCCTTACCAGACACCAAATCGTACAGTGCCTTAATCTTGGACTTCCTAGCCTTCAGAACTGTAAGAAAAATTTCTATTATTTATAAATTAATCAGTTTAAAATACTTTCTTATAGCTGCCTGAATGACCTAAGTGTATACATATAGTATGCTACCATTTGTATGGAGATCCAAGAATGAATATATCTTTATCTATTATATCTATATCTATACCTATAAATATTATACACAGAGGATGACAAAAAATTGTAAACACATCTTAAAAAAGGAAAAAACTGTATTAGAATTGTAATACTTTATAACATGAATTCAAGTCACGTTTGACTTCTGCAACTATAAAAGGTGCTCAAAGTGGATACTATTAGCGTCCAGACACTTCTGATTTCAGCAAACATCTCTTAAAATGTGTGTGCATTTTTTTTTTGGCACCCCCGGTAGTATATAGTATATATAGTATATATTTATAGTATATATTTGTAAGTTCATAGAATGACTGCAAACTGGTAACAGCGATTGCCTCTTGGGAAGAGAACTGGTGGCTAGCAGACCTAAGGTGGGAGAAACACTTACCTTTTATGCCTTCCCTTTTGTACCTTAAAATCTTGTACTATGTACATGTAATGCCCCTTCAAAAAATAAAATTTGAAATTGGGCCTAATTTTTAAGGTGATGATTAAACACTATTTGTTATTATTTTTCAGTTCTTTCTTCCTTCAAATGTACCCAGTTGCCTGACTAATCTTAAAACTCCACTTGTAAGGAACATGGGAGTTCAGTGTTGTTTCAATCGCACCATGACTGTGATTCCAGTAAGCAAGGGGTCATTCAGAAGATTGGACTTACCAATCAAAATGGATATCAGTCGGAGAGAAAGATTCCTGATGGAGGATTAATTTCATTCTTTTTTGTCAACCCCATAGCACAGTGCTAGCTTCAAAGGATGAGGTAATTGGCTAATTACATAGCCACAGTAGAGTATGCAACAAAACCAGCCTAAGAACAAGTCTTTGAATCAGGCCCTCTGAACTGTTATTTCTACTAAATCAGTAAGTTGCTAAATCAGTGAAGTTTGGCAATTTGTAGTTTTTATTGATTTTTTTTCTTACTCAAAGAATAATAATATATATTCACCTTAGCAAATATAAATGAGTAAAAAGAATAAAATATTAATCACCTATGACCCCATTATGTAGTAAGATCTTGTTATTTCTTGGTGTATAGTCTTCCTCATATTTTATAAATTTATACACAATGTATAGTCATTACACTGGAGTCATACTTTTGAAATTTAAATGTATTTTTTTTTTTTACTTAAAAACATTTTTAATAGATGGTGTCTCTATGTTGCCTAGGCTGGTGTGCAGAGGCTATTAACAGGTGCTACCACAATGTACTACAGCCTGGAACTCCTGGGCTCAAGTGATTTTCTGGGCTCCCCTCAGGCTCCAGAGTGGCTGGGATGACAGGGGCAAGCCAACGTGCCTGGCTCTTTTTTTAAATGAGATATGCTAAAAAAAAAAAAAAAAAAAAAAAATATATGTATATATATATATATATATATATCTAGGTGGTCAATTCAACTAAGTTTATTTGAGCAAGAAAAAGGTTCTAGATCCAGGTAGTATTCAGACTGAAAATAGCTCGGAATGCCCCCAACCTCCAACATAGTGAGTTTTACTTCTAACCAGAAAACAGGAAATGACCTTCAGAAGTTACCTGTTTGTTGGTGCAGTGCCTCATTTGTTTTACCTGGGTATAATTTGGCAGCTTTCAACCTGCGACTGGCTGAGACTCAATTACAGACTAAGGTCATACTCCTAGGTTAGCTCATGACTTGTTTACACATCAGCTGTGAGCCAGAGTTAACAGATAAAACGTTGTAAAGTGTGTAAGTCTCAGGACTTAATGAGTTTTTACATAGTATATAAAGTTTTGTGAACTTTTCCTTTGACATAACAACAGTGTGAACATTTCCCAAGCATTAAATATATTTTTATGTAATTTAAAGATGACTATGTAAGTATATTACTGTATGTGGATCATTATTTATATGATTTTTGGACATCCAACTTGTTTCTCAAAAATTTTTTACTATTATAACTGTGTCTTGATAAAGATAACTATCTTTATTGCTATGCCTTTGTACACATTCTTGATTATAATCTTTGAATAAATTCCTAGGTATGGAATTGCTTAAAGATCATGTAAAATTCTGTGACTTCTGATATGCCAGCATTTGCTGAGTGTGTCCAACACTTTTTACTAACTTTAATATATAGAATGTGAGAACATGGGCTGGGCTCGGTGGCTCAGCCTGTAATCCCGCGCCTTTGGGAGGCTGAGGTGAGTGGATTGCCTGAGCCCCCGGTTCGAGACCCGCCTGGGCGGCGAGACCTCATCGCTACAATAAATAAATAAATAAGTCAGCCGGGCGTGGTAGCGCGCGCCTGTAATTCCGGCTGCTCGGAAGGCTGAGGCGGAAGGATCGCCGGAGCCCAGCAGGTCGAGGCTGCGGTGGCCGGGAGCGACCACTGCACTCCAGTCTGGGCGACAGAGTGAGACTCCGACTCAAAAAAAAAAGGAATGTGAGAACATGGTGGTTTAGGAAAAAAAGCCTGAGTTGCATTTAATAAGATCAAACATTTACCAAGATTTCTTTCAAAATGATCTTTGTGGTTGTTTTCTTTAGAACATCAAAATATTGTCCTGACTGTTCTCAGGATGCAGAGTACAGGGGAAATATTTTTTTCCTGGTTAGAGTTGTCCAGTCTTTGAGGGATTTCACATCATTTGTGTGTTTGTGGTAAAAAAATGCATAATGTCAAATTTACCATTTTAACCATTTTAAAGTTAATAATTCAGTGACATTAAGTACATTCATATTGTTATGCAACTATCACTACCATCCATTTCCACAACTTTTTCATCTTCCCATACTAACACTCTGTACCCTTTTTTTTTTTTTTTTTTTAGTTGGAGTCTCACTCGGTCGCCCAGACTGGAGTGCAGCAGCCGCTCCCGGCCACCGCAGCCTCGACCTGCTGGACTCCGGCGATCCTTCCGCCTCAGCCTTCCGAGTAGCCGGAATTACAGGCGCGCGCTACCACGCCCGGCTGATTTTTTGTAGAGATTTTTTGATTTATTGATTTATTTTATTGATTTATTTTATTGATTGTCTTGCTGCCCAGGCGGGTATTGAACCTGCGGGCTCAGGCAATCGACTCCCCTCAGCCTCCCAAAGGCGCGGGATTACAGGCTGAGCCATCGAGCCCGGTTTCTCTGTACCCTTTAAAAAGTGGCTCCCCATTCACTACTCCCTGTAGCCCCTGGAAACCTCTGTGCTACTTTCTATGAATTTGACTACTCTAGAAACCTTATATAAGTGGAATCAACATTTGTTTCACTTAGCATAATGTATATAGATGTACATCAAAGTATATCTATGTTGTAATATGCGTCAGAATTTCTATCCTTTTAAAGGATGAATAATATACCATTGTAAGTATATACCACATTTTGTTTATTAGTCTACTGATGGACACTTAACATCCTCCACTTTTTGGCTATTGTAATACTTTGATGAACATGGGTATATAAATACTTTTTCAAATTCCTGCTTTCAATTCTTGTGTGTATAAATTTACCCAGAAGTCGAATTGCAGGATCACATGGTAGTTCTATGTTTAATTTTTTGAGAGACCACCATACTGCTTTCCATATTGTCAACTTCACATCATTTAAAGTCCATCAGTGATTCAGATCAAGATTTTATGATATCCAAGTAGACCTCCAAATACTTAAAGGATGTGGTGAAACTTCCAAAACAAAATTAATTGTACTTTACTTTAAAATCTCATATAGAGCTTTTAGCAAGAGAGCATATATAGTAAAGGACTAATAAAAATGGTTCATTAATGCTCTTTTCTTCTTCTCTTCAGAAATAAACTTTAAAAAATGTATATAGGTGGGCTAGAAAGAATTTTTCTCCCCCTCAGGGCAATAATTTATGAGGGCATTTACAATGTTAAGGCAATAAAGTATTGTATCCCTGACCACTCACTTTTCCTCTAAATCCCAGAACTTAACTGCATTTCTTAGGGCCAAAATGAACTGAAATATATTGCCTGGATCCTCCCTAGACCGGACGTACACCTGAGTCATGTGACCCAACCCAGGAGAAATGGCTCAGTCGTCTGACCTGTGTTATTACACAATTCTCCTCATTGTCCTATTTGCAGCACAAATCATTATTTCGAATGATCCTTTTTCTTTGCATGTTTCTCATTTGTCTTCCTCCATCAGAACACAGGCTCCATAAGAATCTAGACTGTGCTGTTTACCATGCCTTTCCTTAAAACAGTGCTGAGCACAAAATAGGTCCTCAATGAAGATTTATTGAATGAATTATCACACAAATGAAAATTTGCTATATCCTCATATGTTTCCTTCCACTCAAACTTTTTAAAACAATTATCTTAAACACTCAGAAAAGCATACTCTACTCATATTTAACACATCCTAAGGTTTTACCACATTGCTTCAAGTTCTCTTCAGTCTTTTAAAAAAAAAGAATAAAGACAAAAATATATAGGAGATGGAGAGATGGATAATGTAAGAGGAAGTCCGTGAAAATGAGCAGTTTTTCCTGATCCGTTAGACGAATGGTTCACCTGCATCATTTACACAAACTACAGATCCCAGGCAGCACTGCAATGACAGGCACGTGGTCTATTCTTTTATCTTCTGTAAGCAGCCAATGAGAGGCAACGTTTGCAAAGGTCTAGGATGACATCTGGTGTATTGACTGTGACCAGTGTTAGAGCTAGTTTTTGCTGTTTGGAATGTGCTGCTGTAATTCAGATTTAAAGAGGTCTTTCCTGTTAATTCAAAGCTCATTGTGCCTCTTGTTTCCGAGGGAAGAGCTGATTTAGTAATCTAAATGGATGCAATACTGAATTATAGGCCAGAAGATACTGAAGATTACTACGCGTTACTGGGATGTGATGAACTATCTTCGGTAAGACAGTGGATAATGCTGTTCTTTTTCACAACAGTATTTCGTTTTTATTTAAAGTTTAACTTTAAACTTTTAGTTACTTTGCCTAAAAACTGAATTTTGTATTATTTTAAAGTACTTTTGGCTCAGAGAAAGTTAAGAATTTAAATGTATGTTGGATTTTTACTTGCATAGTGTCCTGTGTCAATTTTATGAAAGCTTCTGAAATAAATATTTGAAACTGTATTGTAATTTCTGATGGTAGTGTTTCATAGCACACATGAGCTATATATTTATTATAGTAATTCATTTAATAATTGAGGTGAAATGTAATTTTTTAGTAAATTAGGGATTTAAAATGTTTTATTAAAATATGTACTTTTATGTGAGCAGTTAATTTAGAATCCAAGAAGCATCTTTTTATGTTAATATTTCAAATTGTATGACAGAAATTATTTCTTGAAAGGGTGGCTTCTGACACAAAAATATGTGAAAATTCTGTAGTTTACTGGATCTATAATAAAATAATGTTTTTGAAGTGCCCTCATAAACAATTATAAAGGTTGTAGAAGTTTTTTAAATTATGGAAAAATCATTTACAAATCTATCTCCCAAGGGTAACACTCCTAATATTTCATCATATTTATCTCTAGTCGTTTTCTTATGTATAATTTTTTAAGATGTGTTTGATAGGATATTATATACTTGTTGATTCCTGCTTTTCCTCTTTAATATTATATCAAGGATTTATTTCTCCATACTATTAAACTTTCTGCATGCATATTTTAATGGCTGTAAAAATATTTCGTTTTACAGTATTGCCACAATTGAGTTATTCTCTTATTGTTAAATATCTTACTTATTTCCAAGTTTTTAATATTTTAAATGATGTTGAGATAAATATGAAATATATGTTATTAAATTATATATTATTAAACCATTTTATTAAAATATATTTAAATGATTAACATATTATTTTTGTTATTAAAAGACAATTATTAATATTTTAAAGCAAAATATTTTATTATTTCTTATAGTTTCATAAAGAGAATAGTTCAGTAATAAAATGTATTAGTTTTGTCTTGAGGACAGGATTTGATATGGTACACAAAGGGTTAAAATCTCTATTTTGTCATGCTGAGGAAGTTTCCTTAGATACCTTGAAGTTAAAAGAAACCATACACACACAGATAATTTTGTGTAGCATTTTATATAGCATTTAATCTCTTTTAGTTGCATATTTCCTCTCAAGAATATTTTACTCTTATTTACATTGGTGGTGATTTGCCTATAGCAATTGAGAAAATCATTATCATTTTTACCATATGCCATATGTCATTCATATTTCAGTTTATACTATTAGCAAATAATTTTTGTAGGAACAATTTAAGATCAAAGGAACATAATTTAACCTGATAATTTGGATTTTTAAAAATAGCTGCAGCCGGGTGCTGTGGCTCAGCCTGTAATCCCAGGACTTTGGGAGGCCAAGGCGAAAGAATTGCCTGAGTCCGGGGGTTCGAGACCAGCCTGGGCAACTTGGTGAGACTTCATCTCTACAATAAATCACACAAAAAAATTAGGCAGGCATGATGGTGTGCATCTGTAGTTCCAGCAATTTGGAAGGCTGAGATGGAAGGATTACCTAAGCCCAACAGGTCGATGCTGTGGAGGCCGTGAGTGTGCCACTGCACTCCAGCCTGGGTGACAGAGTGAGACTCTAACTCAAAAAAAAAAAAAAAAATAAATAAATAAATAAAAATAGCTGCTAGTTTACAAAGTAAAGATCATTATATTCCCTTAATAAATTTCTTGGCCCATTCAGTAAGTCTTTTTAAAGTTGTGATTGTGTCTTTTCAGTCTACAAAGGAGGATTCATTTGGATAGACTCACAAAAATGATCCCATTGTTTATGTATAATGTGTATAACAGTTGCATTTTATGTTACTAGGTGTAGTCATACTTCTCTGTCTCAACATTCCTTTTACTAGGTGTATTTTACTGATTTGTCAATGGCATAGCATATCTAAATAACAATCATTTATTTTTAATGAAATACTGTCACAATTTGTCAATTCTTATTTTCTTTTTTCTTGTCTTTTTTAAAGATGTGAGGCACAATTAAAATTAGGTATACAAGTGGTCATCGTACAGGTAAAGTTTGGGCCTCCCTTTGGTTCCCACTTTACCTGGTTTGAGATAAGTTACCCTTATTGATGTTGTGTCCTCCCCTTCCCCAACCACAGCAGTATCCCACTACTGCCAATCCCTTTTTATAGTATTATGGTAAATGTTCAGGGTCCACTTATGATACCACTTCTTTTTATATGGATCATTTTCTCGCTTCTTTTTATAGATATGCTTCGCATTTAAAGATATTTTAATGACATTTTTGACTATTGTGATATTTCCTTTACTTGATTTTTTGTTGAATGGATTTTCTTTAATTCAAATATTCTTTCATTTGATGCTCTAAAATTAACCAGAACTCTTCATACCCCAAAGCAATTTAGTAGTTATAATTTCAAAGCAATTTGATTTTTTTTTTTTTTTGAATCGGAGTCTCTGTCTGTCATCCAGACTGAAGTGCAGTGGCACACTCACGGCCACCCCAGCTTTGACCTGCTGGGCTCTGGCGATCCTTTCGCCTCAACCTTCCAAGTAGCTGGAACTATAGGTGCGCGCTACCACGCCTGGATAATATTTGATGTATTGTAGAGAGGAAGTCTCGCCAAGTTGCTGGGACTGGTCTCGAACCGGCAGACTCAGGCAATCCACTCGCCTCGGCCTCCCAAAGTGCTGGGATTACAGGCTGAGCTACAAACCCCGGCCAAGCAATTTGATATTTTGATTTTACTTATAACAATTGAGACATTCATATAATAGTTTTACTTTGGCATATTCTTACAAAAGAACAAAATAGAGTTTGTGCTGGAAATTAAGTTTAAAGTAAAATTTGTATATTTTTAAATGATTCTAGAGCAGTAATTCCGAAATTTTTCTTCTCAGAGCTTTAAAAAAATCTTTCACAAATTGAAAATACAACCATGACAATAAGCACTGAGACTAATTTCCTGTTTTACATATATAACATATATAACTTATGGGAGGATTTCCATGTTGTCCTATAGAAAACAACATAGCCCCCATGTCAAAAAAATTTACCAAAGTTTGATTCCAAGTTAGTCAGACTTTTCTTCCTATATTGAATTTTATATAAAAGACACATGCTATAAAACCCTCTAAAGTCCTTATTGATGCATACACTACACAAGAGGGATGTAAAGCATCCTCCCTGGTATGGATCTTATTTGGTTTTTTAACATTTGGTCACTATTTTGGTAGTAATGATAGAAGATTTCAGACTTCGTGGACTTGAAAATTGAGCACAAACCTGATAAATAGAAACATCTATTTTTTTTCCCTAGTTCTCTTTCTTTTCTTTCTTTCTTTTTTTTTTTTTTTTTGAGTAGGAGTCTCACTCTGTTGCCCAGGCTGGAGTGCAGAGGCACACTCTCGGTCACCACAGCATCAACATGCTAGTCTCAGGTGATTCTTCTGCCTCAGCCTTCCAAGTAACTGGAACCACAGGTGCGTGCCACCATGCCCAGCTCATGCTTTTGATTTATTGTAGAGACAAGGTCTTACCATGTTGCCCAGGCTTGTCTCGAACCCCTGGACTCAGGCAATCTTCTCACCTTTGCCTCCCAAAGTGCTGGGATTACAGTCTTGAGCCACTGTGCCCAGCTAGTTCTCTTTCTTATTGACTTCAGACTGCCTGGGTTGCCACTTGCTAGCTGTGTGACATTGAGAAAATTACTTAACTTTTCTATGCCACTGTTTTCTAATTTGCACATGGAAATTAATAGTACCCCACTCATAGAACTGTGGAAATTAAATCAGACACGAAATATATAAAGTGCTTTGAACAGTGCCTGCACAGAGTGGTAAGTGGTTGTGGTTGTGGCTATTGTTTTGACCTCACATTGATACTGTGTGCTTGGAACTTGGTAAATTTATCTTATTCTTGTGTGTGTGTGTGTGTGTGTGTGTGTGTGTGTGTGTGTGTGTGTGTGTGTGTGTGTGTATTTTGGTAGAGATGGAGCCTCACTATGTTGCCCAGGCTGGTCTCAAACCCCTGGGCTCAAGTGATCCTCCTGCCTCCACCTCCCAAAGTACTGGGATTACAGGTGTGAGCTACCACACCTGGGCAATTTTTATTCTTTATTTTTTTTGAGTTGGAGTCTCACTCTGTCACCCAGGCTGGAGTGCAGTGGCATGCTCACGGCAACCACAGCCTGGACCTGCTGTGCTTAAACAGTCCTTCCACTTCAACCTTCCAAGATGCTGGAACTACAGACATACGCCACCACGCCTGGCTAGTTTTTGTGATTTACTGTAGAGACGAGATCTCATCAAGCTGCCTGGGCTGCTCTCAAACCCCTGGGCTCAGGTAATTCCCTCTCCTCGGTCTCCCAAAGTGCTGGGATTACAGGTTGAGGCACCATGCCTGGACTTGCATCATTTTTAAGTTGTTTTATTTTGAAATCGTTTTTTATTTACAGATAAGTGGCAAAAATAGTACACAAAGTTTGAATAGACTCTTAACCCAGCTTCCCTTTATGTTAACATCATACTTCATGGAAGTACAAGGATCAAAACCAGAAAATTAACATTAGTTAATACAATTAACTGGGAACAGCAAACATTATTTTTGTTTGATTGTTTATTGAGTCAGGGTCTCACTCTGTCGCCAGGTTAGGGTGCAGTGGTACTATCACGTTTCATCACAGCTGGTGATCCTTCCACGGCAGCCTCCTGAGTAGCTGGGACTACTTGGGATTTTTTGTAGAGGTGAGGGCTCACTATGTTGCTTAGGCGGGTCTTGAATTCCTGGGTTCAAGCAATCCTTTTGCCTTGGCCAGGAGTACAAGTGTGAGCCACTGCATCTGTTGGCCATCCAACATTTTTTGGTAAAGGATCAGGTAGACAGGGTCAGGATAGGATGCAAAATTTAAGGA